GAGCCCGTTTCAATAACCTGTCCGTTGAGCGCTTTAAAGTGGTCGTTAGATGGTGACCACTTTGAATGTTTAATCTTTGTTTTTTTTTTTTTTTTTTGTTTTTTTTTTTTTAAATGGTCGTTAGTTGCTATGCACTGGCCAACTTTTTAAAATGTTTTTATATTTTTCACATTTTTTATTTAATTTTGTTATTAAATTATTTAAAATTTATGCAATGTTATTTTTTAATGTAATATATAATTTTAATAACATATTATTTGAATTGAATTGAAATTTTATAATTATAAATTAAATTAGCTTTTGACATGTTTAATTTAAATATAAATAATTATAATTATAATTGCGATTATAATTTTTAGAATGATAAAAAATAAAAAATAATTAGAATATAGTTTTTGTAAATTGATAGGTCTAGACAAAATTTGAAAAAAATAATAATTCAAACTATTGGGAGAATGAATTTTGTGATTGAGTGAGATATTAGATGTTGATGTGTGAATTATGGAACCCACAAAAAATTGCAAATAAAATTGTACTCCGTAATATAATATATATTGAGGTTGCCCTAAGTACTGCCTTGGCAGTGATGATAGAGTTCTATTATATATGCTATCAAATTCTACTATCTCTTCTCCTCTCCCAAATTCTACTATCTCACTTTTATTTAATGATGTGGCAAACAAAGATGTTATATTTTCATTGTGTGAACTCCATAAAAAAGTGTTAACATCAAGAATTTATGAGAGAGAATTGAATTAAGGAATAAGACGTATGAGTCCATGTAGCATATTATGAGATGATATATATAGGAAAGCTTTAAAACGGAGTTCTATTATATATATTCTTTATTTTTACTCAATCACTTTTTACTCCTAACAATTGATTATTAGTTATCTTTATTTTGTGAGTTCCAATAAAAATTTTCATATTAAAAGTTTATGAAAAATAGTACTCCATAGAATTTAAGAATAGGAGTATTATTTTCCTTTAAAAATGACTTGCTCAAATATTTGTATAACTTAAAAATCAATTATTTGAGCTACTAGCAGATAATATCGTACGAAAAGCTACAAAACTCACTAGCTCAAATAATTGAGCAAATGGCGAAACTTTTAATAACAAGACAATGATATGACTATTGATGTATTCTGACTTGAGGCCCCACCTAAATTATTTGCGTAATTGTGCCAATCCAGTCGCATAATAGTGTGATGGGGCATATCAAAATTAGGAGTTGTAAATACCATCTCTCTGGACTAATAAATTAACTCCTCGAGCTCTGATGCCAATTGTTAATTTAGAGGGTCTTGAATACATGAATTACTTATCTGATTCTTATTAAATTTTAATTCAATTAATTAGGGATGACAATGTGCCTCATCTCCGTTGGAGATCCCGTCTCCGTTAAGAACGGGGACGGGGACGGGGATACCCCTCCCCGCCCCGTCCCTGAATAATTAAAAAATATACTCCGTATATTATTTTAGAAATTTAGGAGTATTGCCGTATAGATTAGTTTTAATTGTAAATTTAATTATATACTTTGTCTAGTCATATAAACTGTATACTGTGAAATTGAAACAATGTAAATTGTAATGTGAAACAACATTTAAATTAGAGATTAGATTGTGGAACCATTGAAATTATACATTTATACTGTGAATGCTTTAAAATTAAATTATATTGTGAAACCATTAAAATTAAATTATACTGTGAAATCATTTACTGTAAGTAGATTGTGAATATATTAATGAATCATTTGAATGTTTATTTGTTAGTGCATGTATAGATTGTATACTGTGAAACCATTTAAATTATTTAATCATATAATTGTTGCCTATTAGGACTTATAGATTTTAATTTTTTTAATTTTTATTTTTTATTTAAATTATAGACACTTTGACTATGGGATTGACCGGGGATGGGGATTCCCCGTCCCCGCTAAATTCCCCGTGGGGACAGGGACGGGGAATTTTTTCAATTCCCCGTCGGGGATGGGGACAGGGACGGGGACGGGGACGGGGTCGGGGGCGGGGAGTATACTCCCCGCCCCCGCCCCGCCCCGTTGCCATCCCTACAATTAACCATCTGAGTTAGGTTTGTGTCAGACACGGATAATTAAAGAAATGATAAATAAAAATAAATGCAAAAAATATAAAGAAACGGGGATATATTTACGCAGTTCAAAGAATTTCTCTTAAGTCTGCGGGGCTACTCAGCGCAAGTCCAACTCCACTAGATGATCATCAAAAGTATACAAAAATGTTGAACAGATTTATCCATACAAATTATGGTCTAATCTGTCCAAACAACTCAATCTTCATTATTTTCATGAGTTGGTACGTGCAAGCAAATCTTTCACTTCAAGCTTCAATAAACCATCATCAATTCTCAACCATAAAAGCTCATCTCCTCACAAAAGCTGTTCGTATATGTAGCTTAATAAATAGACAATATAGAGAGTAAACTGAGGAAATTAGCCTTGTGGTTTGCTGCTCATTTCTTCCCTTTCGAATTGCTAAGAATAATTAGAATTGAATGCAGCAAAGCTTCTTCCCTCTAATATATTGTACGTATATCTTTAATGTGTAGGAATATATTTAAAATTACTTCATAGAAGAAATGTTATTGGAATGCAGCGAACCAATTCATCTTTGAAATTTCCATCATATCCTTGCACCTCTTTATAGTAATCAACCTTATATGATGCAACAACCCTTAGTTTTAGATGCAATATTTCCTTAGAATAATGAGAACAACTCATCTCAAAATCTTGCCTGAAGACTGCATCTCTATAACAAATTCTATTAGCAAATTATTTTGCATCATCCTTCCTAAAAAATAACCTAACAATAATATTAACTAAGTTTTGACAAATAATATGTCAATAAATATATTATGTGTATCATTTGTACACTTACAAAGGATCTCACATCTGACATCGAAACATTTAGCGTCAGGCTTGTGGAAGTTGTAAAGAAAATAAGTCGATGAAAAAAAAAATTATATATATATATATATATATATATATATATATATATATATATATATATATATGTGTGTGTGTGTGTGTGTGTGTGTGTGTGTGTGTGTGTGTGTGTGTGTGTGTGTGTGTGTGTGTGTGTGTGTGTGTGTGTGTGTGTGTGTGTGTGTGTGTGTCCAGATCTTATGGATGAGAAACACTGATTTTTTTTAAAAATGCAGTGGCATTTTCGTAAATAATTGAACATCGAAATGCAAGTAAAATGTATTACAAGTGCAAGTAGTAATTTCATATAGTGCACCTCAGTGCATGTAAAATGTATTACAGGTGCAAGTAAAATCTATACTAAGCATCAATATTAAGTGTATATAACGTTATACCTAGGTGCACGATAGTTATAAGTAGTTGCACCTAGGTGCACGAATGTTAACAAGGTAAAATTACTTGCACTTGTAAGTGATTTTATTTGCACTTTTTACTTGCAAAGGTGCACCAGCTACTTGCACTTATAACACATTTATGCGCACCAAAGTTTGAGTTATTTATAAAAATACCCCGTGTCGTTTTTTAAAATTACATCTGATTCGTTGATATGGACACGTAAATAGCGCTGAATGGTTCTTATTTCTTTCCTGAGCGGCAATTCGCATAAGAGCGTGCCTATATATATATATATATATATATATATATATATATATATATATATATATATATATATATATATGAGAAGGAAATTTGTGGCGTGAAGAGCCAAGTTCAGAACCGGTGATTAGGAGAATGTGACTTCAAGATAATCCTTGGATGCTCTGATTGCCTTACATTCGGCGTCACTGAATGCCTTATCGCATCAACTTGTGGTTCAACGGCCTGCGCCTGAGAGAGCCTTTCACATGTAGTTTGATGACATCCTAGTTACCCTTTTAAATGGGTGGTCATACGTTTAAATTTTGGTGGTGGGGACTTATATTGTTTGGACTGAAAATGTTGAGAAAGTATAAAAAACTTAATTATAGTTCCAATAAACTTAACTATAGTCAAGGACCTTGTGCTCAGATGACATGTAGTGACATTTTCCATGTGAGAGGTTGATCATGAGATCGAGTCTCAATAAACACGTTGTTGATATTTGAACAGATACTACAATGTAATAAGAGTCAGTAGCTTTTAAAAAAAAAACTATATAGTACCCTTTTAAATAATTATTTCCAAACAAAGTGATTTAAGTTGTGATTGGAGTATCGGAAAGTGACGAACTTAATTGATAATATAGCTGGACTTTAATAATTATTTACTCTTTTTTCTTTTTCAGCATTCAATCTTTTACTCACCCTATATCCCGAAGAATTAATACTTATGCTGCAAAACGATGTCGTTTTGACTAAAAACGCGCATCCCATTTAAAAAAAAAAAAATCAGTTTCGATTCCCCTCAATAGTATTATGTTATTCATTCATTCTGAATTTTTAATTTTTTCATTGTAGATATTTAGTTCATTTATTGTGGATATTTAGTTCATTCATTCTGGATTTTTGGTTATTCATTCACTGTGGATATTTGGTTCATTCATTGTGCATATATAATTCAAATTATGCAAGAAAAATGCTATTATCGGGAATCGAACCTTAATTTTTTTCTTTTAAGTGGGACGCGCGTTTTTAGTCAAAACGACGTCATTTTTGCAACCGTGTGCACCACGGTTGCACAACATAATTTGAGCCGAAGAATATAATTTGCACGTACCCCTCACACATCAATCATTATTACATGGACCATGGTCCACACAATTGTGTGAACCCTAAATCAAAACTACATTTTTAATATATTAAGAGTAAATTATTTATGTAAGTAAGGTACATTTTTTGAAAATATATTTTTAATATACTAAAAATACATTATTTTATATAATGTACCTTCAGTACAAAAATAATATACCTTTACTACAAAAAAATAATGTACTTTTAATATATTAAAAATGTATAGTACCTAATATGTGTGGACCATGATCTATACAATAATTTGCCCTCACACATCACTTGCATAATTGCATTTCCTATTTCTTCACTTAGAGAGAGAGAGAGAGAGAGATTCCGGCCTGAAAGTGAGAGAAATGACGATAATCGTGGACGGAGTGGTTGAGGAACTGGTAACACAGGGGGTAAACTCGTTGGTCAGAATTGTGTCGGACAATGTGACGCTGGTTCGTGGCATAAATTCTGAGATAAAAGATCTCACCTCCGACATCCAAATGTTCAACGCCAGACTGGTGGAAGCTTCCAAGAACCCAAGGGCCAATGACCACCAAGTTTTGAGACTAATAGTGAATAAATTTCGAAGCGTTGTGAATGAAGCCGAGGATACGATTGCCGACTACGTTGTACTGAAGAAGAAGCATGGAAACAATTTGTTCTTAAAGTCTTTGGATAAGACCCCACTTTGTGGAAAGGTGAATGGGTATGCGAGCGAGATCCAGTCCATTAGGAGAAAGATGAATGCAATTCGGCAAGAGCACGAACAAGAACTTCAATACCTCATGCAGTACGAAATCAAAGACCAGGACAAGGCTGTCAAAACTTTCCACCAGGTAATTAAGTTATCCTATTTCACATTATTAATTGGTTTCAGCAATTAAAATACATGAATGTATGGGATTGATGGGTAAGTTACGCAGGTTATGCTTTTAAACTGAGCATCCTCATCAGTATTAGTTTTTGATTAGCGTTTTAAGCTTACAAGAAGAGACATTGAAGTGAAAGAGAGAGAAAAACACTGTTTTTTTTTTTTTTTTTTTTTTTTTTTTTTTTACAAAAAAACTTGTTTAAAAATCAAGCAATTCAACCGCTTGTTTTTTTTTTTTTTTTTTTTTTTTTTTTTTTTTTTTTTTTTAATTTGTTATTCTATTTATAATTTTTTTTAATTATATTAGTTGTTGGTATATTTAGTATTTAAAATTTTGTATTCAATTTTGAATGTTAATTTGTTCCGCAAAAAATTTGAAGGAGAATTTTTATTTATGAAATTATATTTTATAATTATAAAATTATTTTATTTCATTATCTAAATTTATTTTTATTAAAATCAAAATTTGAAATTATAATTAAAAAGTTAAAATTATTAATTGTAGAAAAGTGAATAAAATAATAGATGATATGTAGAGGTGGAGAGGAGTAAGAACCACAAAAAGGAAAGAAAAAAGAGAAGAATTGAAGAGAAAATAAGAGAGGAGATTATGTGCCTATGTGGTAATGTGGAGAAATGGACCCACAAAATGAAGAAATTATGTGGACTTCGGCTCCTGGCTGGGGTCACTAGAAACTAACCAAGCAATTTTTATTATTATTATTTTTTTATTTTTTTATTTTTATCAAGAGGATGGAGCCAACAATCTCCTTCACTACTTAAACAAGACAAGGGATACTCTCCAAATCTTCTCTGAGTTCCCTGATGATTTCCTCCAGAGGCTCTATGCCTCTATGAGGTTCATCGATTCACTTTCTCCCTCCGTTGCCAATTTTGCAAGCCTATCTGCTACTTTATTTTGCTTGCAAAACACATGTCGTACTGTAATGTCCAGCAATTATATTGTGGACCATGGTAAAAAACGACAGATACTATAGTGTATCTAAACTGACACTGTCTCACGTATTATTTTTATTGTGGACCGCAGTCCACAATATAATTTGCCCTGTAATGTCCCATGTCGGCCTTTCGTTGCCATTCCCTAATCAAATTGCCGATTGAACCTCTGATCTTGGCCTTTTGTTTCCAAATGATTCCAAGCTAAATCTCTCAACCTCCCACATATCTCTCTAATAGACGTGGACACACATTCCATAATATTACTGATAGTACTAATTCCGCGTATGTAGAATGTATGTACATGTATGTAAATGTATGAAATAAGCCAAGGAAGAAAAGATGTAGCAAATAGGCTCCTTTTATTCATATGAATGTTATTGTGTTTCTGTGTATAGAGAGATGGAAGAGAGCACATCACAAGCACACATCACAAGCATAGAGAGAGAACCATAGTGGAGAATGAAGAAAATCCCAATAACTTGAAGGGCCAAAAGCCCTTTTATAGGCCCAAGGATATGGTGGGTTTGACCCGTAGGTCGGGGCCCGAATCGCTTGACCTCGACCCGACTATAAAACGGGAACTCGAATCCGGGGTATATATCTTATCAAGAAGCCTCCCAGTCCGTGCCCTGACGATGAGTCAATGAGGAAGGGTTCGGGCTGGAAAACTTGGCTATATGGTATGTGACTTACGCCGGTTGCCTCGTTAAAAACCTTAAGCTAATAAAAAACCTAGTGGGAAAAAATTTTATCTAAGGAAAAAAGAGCACAACTCTAAGCGTAGACTGGTGGACTAAAAAGGGTTTGCCCGACCTAGGGGTCAGTTTTGCAGCACGATTTGCGAGATCATACTTTACCAATCTAGCGATCGGGTTTGGATTTACTCACGATCAACGGATTGAACTCTTCCGTGACAAAATAAATCAAATTGCACCGATCTAGGGATCGGCTTGCACCAATCGGGATACTGAACTTTTAACGCGGTTTAGCGATTGAAATCGACCAATCAAGAGATTGGGTTTACAGGGAAACTTACTAATTACTTCTTACCAATTGAGAGATTTGTTTTATTCATGGTCCTCATTGGATCATGTGGATTGCAGACGGGAACGCTTTTCCCGCCTTACTCGGGCTAACCGGTTGTGACTGGTTTGAGCTCGATCAAACTCTTATCTAAACCACTCGACTAAAAAGATCGTTCTTAGCTGCTCCTGCTTGGTTGGCTTTGATTACCGCATTAATCACTACGGCTTGCTTTTGAAAACTAAGAATTATTCGACCGGGGCGGTTTCCCCCTTCTCGCACTTGGATTTACGAATCGAAAGTCCCAGGCGGTGGCCGGTGGGACACTAGGAGACCACGATAGCAAGATGCGTTTCAAAAATGATAATCGGTTGAATGGGGAGTTTGTTCCCTTTTACGCTCGGTTTACGAATCGAGAGCCCCCAAGTGAAGGGTCGCTAAGAGACCCGAAGGTCTAACGACGACGAGATCATGAAGGTTGTTTTGATCGAGAAGTGACGATGGGACCGGGAAAGTCAGTCTACTAAAGAAGCGCTTGGGCGAACGAGCTAAGGCGGTCTACTCAGGAAGCGCTTTGGCTACTCGGGAAATACTTTAGCGAAGCGAACGAGCTACTCGACCGATCTACTTGGGAAATACTTTAGCGGAACGAACGAGAACCGAATGAGAAGCGAACGAGCCACTCTACCGATGTAGCCCCCCCACTCCCTTAGGTGCGAGAATCGTCAGCATAAGGGAGTAGATACAATGGGTTCTTGAGTTCACCTTTTTAACTTTGATTACGATCAGGAAATGACTCGATTGAGCTTATGATGCCAATGCACCGAGCAATACTCATTGATGGGGTAGTTAAGAATGTAGTAGGCATAATTTTGTCTGAAAAATGGGGGGTGCATCCGCATCCGGAGGCACTTATTGATAGATTTAATGATGCCCTGGGGGAATGTCAACTGGTTGACTTGGGTATGGTTGGTCCTCGATTTACATGGGTGTGTGGGCGATGCACGGAAGCTTGGGTAGAGGAACGCTTGGACCGTGCAATTGCGTCGATCGAGTGGTTGGATGTGTACGAGGATGCGGTAATCCGTAACTTACTAACGTTATCCTCCGATCATTGTGCGATTTTTTTGGATTTAGAACCGAGTCTAGTTCGGGGAAGCCGTGAAGGTTTTTCAGATTCGAATCAGGTTGGTTGTTGGAGGAGGGTTGCGGTAAGGTGGTTGATTTAGTGTGACGGCAATCGGTGGGCTTAGACTTTCAACAACGAATTGCAGTGTGTGGCCAGCACTTATCGAGATGGGGAGGGGAGTATAGACGACGTTTCAGACGACGTATTGCATTCTTACGTAATAGGTTAGATCAGTTGAGGGAGGATAGAAGTCACCAATCTGTAAGTGAGTTTTTGGTAGCCGAAGAAGAGCAGAACTCATTGTTGTGCCAGGAGGAGGTGTTTTGGTGGCAAATATCGAAGCAGCTGTGGCTGAAACATGGGACTCCAACACTAAATACTTTCACAATGCCGCATCTACCAGAAAGAGAAGGAACATACACTCGTAAGGCTGCTAGATCCGCAGGGGGTATGGCGGGATGGAACAACCATGCATGTTGAGGTGTTGAGGTATTTTAACAGCATTTTCCAATCTGAAATTGGTACTTCGGATTTTTTCACTAGAATTCAAGGTCGAGTAACTGTTGAGATGGATGAGATGTTAATGCAACCTTTTACGGTGGCGGATGTGAAGGTGGCACTATTCTCTATGGCCCCGGAGAAAGCCCCGGGCCCGGATGGTCTATCGCCGGTTTTCTATCAGCATTTCTGGCATGTTCTGGGCCATGATCTGTCTATGTTTGTCCTGCATTGTATTGTATGCGGCACGTTCCCACAAGGCCTTAACGACTCAAATATTATCCTTCTTCCGAAGAAAAAAGTGCTTGTAAAGGTTTCCGATTTGCGTCCGATAGCACTTTACAATGTCATTTACAAAATCATTGCTAAAGTTTTGGCCAATCGGATGAAGGGGGTGTTGGAATATGTGATTTCAGCGTCGCAAGGTGCTTTCGTTCCTGACCGTTTATTAACAGATAAAATCATTGTGGCCGAGGAAATTGGACATTTTTTTTAGACAGAAGACCAGTGGTACCATGGGGTGGGCGGCTTTAAAGCTTGACATGGGTGGGCGGCTTTAAAGCTTGACATGGCCAAAGCATATGACAGGATGGAGTGGTGTTTTTTGGAGGGCATGTTGGTAGCACTCGGGTTTGACCGTAAATGCATTGATTTGTTGCTTCAATGTGTTACGACGGTTCGGTATGTTATACAGGTGAATGGGGAGGGTGTTGGATCTGTGTGTCCGACCCGCGACATTCGGCAAGGCGACCCTTCGTCGCCGTATTTATTCATTTTCTACGCCGAGGGTTTATCGATCTTATTGTAACAGGCGGAGAGCCGTGAGGATATACATGGAGTGCGTGTGGCTTGGGGGGTTCGTGCCGTTTCACATTTATTCTTCGCGGACGGCAGCCTCCTATTCTTCAGGGCTAACCAGTTTGAGGCACAAGTGATTAAAACTTGTCTGGACACATATAGCGCAGCGTCGGGCCAATTGATTAACTTTGACAAGTCCAATGCCATGTTTAGCCTTAACACTGGCACGGGGGCGCGGGATGTGGTTACGGAGTGCATGGGGGTTCACGAGGCTACTGATTTGGGGCGTTATCTTGCTTTGCCTTCAGTTTTGGGGCAGAACAAGACATCCACTTTTCGGTACGTTGAAGAAAAAATTCGGGAACGGATTGGTGCGTGGCAGCATAAATTCATCTCTAAAGCCGGTAAGGAAGTTCTGCTCAAAAGTGTAGCTCATGCTCTTCCTATTTTCACTATGTCCGTCTTTCTGCTTCCGGCCGAGTTTGTGATAAAATTGAAGAATTGTTTAACCGTTACTGGTGGGGTGGAGAGAGCTCGGGCAGTAGGGGAGTGCATTGGTTAAGCTGGGTGAGGTTATGTGTGCCAAAAAGCCGGGGTGGTTTGGGGTTTAAAAAGCTTCATGAGTTCAATATAGCTCTTCTAGCCAAACAGGGATGGCGACTCTTGACACAACCGGATTCATTGGTTAGCCAAATAATTAATGCGAAATATTACCCCGAGAGCAGTTTTTTGGAAGCTTGGCTGGGCAATAACCCCAACTTTATTTGGCGTAGCATCGCGGCGGGACAAACGGTGTTGAGAAGGGGTTTGGCTCGGCGGATTGGAGATGGCAAGGACACAAATATACGGGATTGGCCATAGTTGGCAGATTCATCCAATTCTGCTTTACTTACCACACGGATTGAGGAGTTGAGGGAAGCGAGGGTGAGTGGTTTGATGTCTGCTAACGGCACGTGGGATGAAGAGGTGCTCCGAGATATCTTCAACGAAGACGATGTACGTCAGATCCGCGCCACTCATATATCTACTCATCTACGGGATTCTTGGCGTTGGATTGGAGATATTCGTGAGGTGTACAATGTCAAGCACGAGTACAAATTGCTCACTGAGTCTATTCTCAGGTCAGAATCGATGCCAGCGTTCAATGCTTGGGAGCGTCTGTGGACGATCCTAGTTCCGCCAAAAGTGCGTAACTTATTATGGAGGTGCGCTCGTGGTGTTCTTCCGGTCAGAGAAAACCTGAAAGCGAAGAGGATTTGGATTGGTGGTGGATGTCCAATGTGTGACCAAAGCACTGAGACAACCAAACACCTCTTCGGAGAGTGTTGGTATGCCAGGCAACTGTGGAGGTTGGATGATGTGTTACAAGGAAGAGATATTCAGACGTTCATAGCAGAGGGTCTGGGCAGTTCAAGCTTGGATCACGTTATGCATATGGCGGCCATTTTCTGGGTGCTATGGACAACGAGGAACGATAGGGTTTGGCGAAACAAGGCGTGCGTCGTGGAATCTCTGCGCATTCACATCCAGGTGTTGATGGAGGCTTGGAAAGCAACAATCCTGCCCACTGTGTCCAGAGAGCGTGCGAGTGGCAATCACGATCAATGGGAGCCGCCGGCGCGAAACTGGCTTAAATGTAACGTGGACGCAGCGATCTTCGACGACGGCTTGGGCTTCAGGGCGTTTCAAGAAGCTTTACGTTGGTTAAGTGCGTTAGGCTGTGGTCACTTGATCATTGAAACAAAATGTTTAACTTTATGTAATGCTTTTAATTCTTGCACTGCACGTTAGATTTGTTGTATGTAGGTTCTGTTATTAAGCAATGTTTGTCGATTGCTAAAGACATTGGGAACGTTGTTCGCCATGTCAGGAGATCAGCGAATCAAGTGGCTCACGTGTTAGCACGGGCAATTGATTCACCAACTGGCTCAGGTTCCTGGTTCGTTATACAATCAGTTTGTATTGCTGCTTTATTGATTCATTAATGAAGTTTTGAGTTGGTTTCAAAAAAAAAAATCAACATTCAATAAATATACATAGTTTTATTAACCAGGTTAACTATGGAAATAATCTTTGAGAAAACAACACTATTCTTACTCAAAATCCTCTCAAATGATTGAAGATCATAACTAAGCAGGATCCATAAATCCCATAATGGGATTGTCTAGCATAATCAGCAAGCGTAATTACCATATTCAGGGGGTGCAATTGGCCACTTGTCCTGGACATGCATTTTGTAATTCTTTTCCTTATGGGGCATATCAATTCCACATTAAAATATAAATGATGCTATATTTCCCTTTATAAATTGTCCTCCTAATGTTTACTAATTTATTTATTAATAAAATAAAAAAAGGATTAGTCAACTATTGACTCGTAAAAACATTGATATTAAAAGAAAAATTTAGGAAGGAAATGTTGATTACAACCATTACTCTTATTTTATTTTATATAAATGGGCACACTGATCCTTTGCTTAAAATTAGAATTTGTTGAATGATAGTTTGAACGTTTGAAGGATAGGTAATATACTAATGGTCACACTTTTGTAAGACTGTCTCACATATCCATATTCGTGAGACTGATTGAGTCGGATCGTGTCAATATGAAAAGTGTAATGGAAAGTGTAATGTTTTTTTTATGAGAAATGTAGTCCTTTTACATTTTTAATGTAAAGTATTACATTTCTCATCAAAAGTATTACAGTACTTTCTCTTATAAATAATGTTGATTGTTGACAAGTAATACTTTTATATATATATATATATATATATATATATATATATATATATATATATATATATTCTTAGCACTTGATGAATAATGCTTTTATTTTTGTTTTATTTATTTTTATTTAAACATTCAGGCTGGACCAACGGTGGAGAAAAACGAGGTATTCGGCTTCAAAAAAGATTTGGAAGACCTGAAGGCTCGTTTGTTAGAGGCATCAGATAATTTTATTGTGATCCCAATTGTTGGGATGCCTGGTACGGGGAAAACTACATTTGCTTCAATGCTTTTTGAGGACCTAAGCATTCTCAACAATTTGGTTCGCATTTGGGTTCCTGTTTCAAAATGGTGTGATAGAAAACAGAAATTCATCAGCATCATATATCAAATCACCAAGAGTACTGAAGACTTGACCACCAAGTCTGAAGAAATGTTGAAAGATACCATTCAAACCCTTTTAAAGGATCGAAAATACTTCATTATATTGGATGATGTATGGGAAAGAAAAGATTGGGATTCTTTACAAACTGCATTCCCTAAAAACATGAATGGAAGTAGAGTCTTGGTGACTACCCGGCATGACAATGTGATTGATTCTACTTGGAAATCTCATAATTTAGAAAAGTTAAGTGATGATGATGGTTGGTTGCTTATTAAGAATAATGTTTTCGGTACAGAGGGATGCAGTGACAAGTTATTAGAAGAGCTTGGGAAAAAAATAGCAAGAAAATGCAAGGGTTTACCACTTGCTCTAGTAGTGGTAGCTGGTATCCTACGAAAATGCATAACTTCTACGGACTGGCAACAAGTGGCTGATAATCCGCTTCTAGAAATCAATCGAGAAAACCAAAGTTACCATGAGATTGTTAAGATGAGCTACAATGATCTGCCTAATGAGAAGTTGAAAAATTGTTTCCTGTATTTTGCATCTTTTCCCATGGGGCATGAGATTGCTATATGAAAGTTGGTTTGTTTGTGGATCGCTGAAGGATTCATTCCAACAATAAATGAGTGGGAATACCGTATAGATGCAGAAGTTGAAGCTCAAAAATATTTGAATGATCTTGTTGATAGAAATCTTGTGATGGTGATAAAAAGAAGAGCAGATGGTCAAATCAAAACATGCCGGATCCATGACACATTGCACGAGTTCTGCAAAAGTGAAGCTGCAAGGAAAAATTTATTCCTTGTAATGGATAGGGAGGAAAGGATAGATGAGAATACTTGTTCAGCTCGACGTCTTTGTTTTCACTCTTTTACTACTGCAGACATATCTGATGACCAAAATAAATCATCTCGCTTCTTCCTCAATTGGGATGATCAAATGAGGAGTCTGTCATCTCCATTTGGGAAACATATTCATTCTTTGTTTCTGTCTTCCCCACAAGAGAGTGATGAGGTTCCTCTTACACGAGATGAATTAGCAGCCATCCCAAACATTTTTCCTCTTCTTAGGGTGTTGAATATTGAATCCATCAAGTTTAACGATGGCTCGTTGCCAAATGAGGTTTATAGGTTATATCTTCTCAAGTATATTGCTATCTCAGGCAGCAATCTCAACCTCCTCCCAAAATCATTCAAAAAACTGGTTGAATTGGAGACTTTAGTGATCAAAACCACAGCAAGGGCACTAGAAATTGAAGGAGGCATATGGAACATGGAAAAGTTAAGACATGTACGCACCAACACCTCTGCGCAATTACCCTTTCCTCTAGAAACAAATAGCAAAACTAACTCTGGAGGAAAACACATCCACACACTTTCTACCATATCACCAGCAAGCTGCATAAAAGAGATCTTTAGCAAGACCCCCAATCTCCGAAAATTGGGTGTTCGTGGAAATTTATCACAACTTTTAGAGGAAAAGGAGAATATTTGCTTGTTCAACAATCTTCAAATGCTAAAGTGCCTCGTAAACTTGAAACTCTATGGCGAGTATGACAAAGTGTTAACGGTCCCAATGCTAAACAAGTTTGCACGTAGGCTAAAAAAGTTGAGCTTCTCCGGCACATTGTTTGAGTGGAAAGACATGGCAGTATTGGGGTCGTTGGAGGAGCTTGAGGTGCTGAAGTTGGATGACTATGCATTCAAGGGGGAGAATTGGGAACTAAGCAATAATGTTGTTTTCAGAAGGCTTCAATATTTGCGCATTGGAAGGACGAATCTAGTTACTTGGAAGGCCACAGAGAATAGCTTCCCAGCTTTACAAAGTCTAATCCTCAGAAATTGCAACGTCATAGAAAGAATTCCAGAAGCGTTTGCTAAGGTACATACCCTTAAGGTGATGGAATTATTTCACGTTAGTGAAAGTGCAACTCAGTCCGTAAAAGAAGTACGAGAAAACATAAAAAACAATGGATTCAAGCTCATCATAACCTCTCATCAAAAGGTAATTGTTTTTCTTCCCCATTTATTATTTTGACAGGAGCTCTAATACGCTATAAAAGAAAATTTGAAATTAATTCTTTGTAAAAATCTATGCAATCAAAACTAATTGGGTCAAAAGTGAAGACTTTTAAAATACCATTATGATATACCACTGTATAGACTATAGTACGGTGTATGTTGAAAAGAAAACATTTTCAAATTTTCATTTTGGCTCTTCGATATTGATTCTTAGACAATAGATAATTCTTATTACTTATTCTGAGTTCTGACACTATAATGTACATTATGTGTTAGATTGTTAGAATAATAAAACTTTTGAAGGTAAGATAATGTATTTTATGAGTTAAAATAATATATATTAAGTTTTAGAATAATGTACATTATGTGTTATAAAAATGTATGTTGCAATAAAATATCATAAAATAAAAATGTTTTTCTCAAAAATGAACCATTTTTCAAGAAAATAATTTTAGGTTTTCAAACATACCCTAAATCTTTAGTTGTAAAAATAATTAATCCTTTTATTACATAATCTTTAGTTTGTTAAAATAATTAATCAATTTTTTGTGTAATAATAATATTTAAATGAAAAAGAAGTTATAAGTTATATTTTAAAACCATAATGCATTTCTTAATTCTTTAGAGAGAGGGAGCAATGACGGCAGGCAGGGACACACTGATAGAGCTAGGGGTAAGGTGGGAGATAAATTATCTGGTTGATTATGCAGCACGAGACTTGCATCTTGAGAATGGTGGCCTAGTGTGGGAAATGAAAATTTTGATCTCCGATATCGAAACGTTTAATGCTAGGCTCGAGGAAGCTTACGAGAACCCAACAGAATCTGTCAATGTTTTGATTATGAAGAACTTTCAAACTATTGTGAAAGAAGCCTTGGATGCGGTTGACCACGGGATGACTGCGTATTTCAACCATAAAGACAACCATATCAGAAAATTTTTGGTACCACGCTATAGAAGAGAGGTCAAATTCCGTGAGAGGGCGATCCAGTCTATTAGGACAAAGGTGAACACGATTGACCATGAACACAAAAAGGAACTTGAAATCCTCTGCAACTATGAAAAGAATGCTCCGCTAGTTTTACAGGTACCGCAAAAACTATCCTCAAATTATTATTATATTTCAATTTGTTTCAGCAATTACTAAACATGAGTATATTCATGGTCGTTGGAAATTAATTTCTGATAAGGGAAAACAAGTCTATTTTTTTCGGAAAATGACTTCCTCTTTTTTTTGAGGGAAGTTATTTTCCAAAAAATTCAAAGCAACTTTTTTCCAGTTCTCCATCTTCTTTGTTAGTTTCTGAATGAAATCCATTTAACTGACAGAAACCATTTACTAGTTTCCATTTGAAAACCAGAAGTTTTTCTGGTTTTCTAAGCAGGAAATAAGATTATCTGGTTTCCAGCTTCACAAGCCAATTTTTTTATTTTTTTTTTATTTTTAATTTTTTTATAAATATTATTGATTTTTTAATATAATTCTACTTATTTTCTAGAAAATGATTCAAACACATTTTAAGACAATTTTCTGAAATGAAACCAAACACGGGAAATGAAATATTTTTTATAAAATAACTCATTTTTCAAAAAACATCATTTTTCCGAAAATTATTTTCCAGGTTTCCAAACACCCTTAATGGAAACAATGGGGATAGAAATCTATTTTTCTTTTCATAACTCAAGGTGGGCTATGTGACTTTGTAAGATCTAGGGGTGTTTGGCAAATAATTATTAGCAGATTGGGTTAGTTAGTTTAATTAGCTAATAGCATTAACTGATTGTAGAAAGATGTTTGGTAAATTAGTTGTTAGCTTATAGCTGATTACATGCAAAATGTATAATTTATTTTTTCAAAAAGCTAATCGAAAAAATTACTTTGAGTAGTTTTTATAATTTTAGCGTTTTTGAGCAATAAATTATTACAAAAAATTAATTAACCAAACACTCATATTATCTTTTTAATCAATTCGAACAGTTAATAGTGGTCAAACAAATCAAAATTAGCTGATAAGCAAACTATATATGTTACCAAACAAGGTATTAGAGGGAGGATTTAATGGTGGTTGAGGTAGAAGTTTAAAAAAACTTGACGTTGGCGGGTGTTATTCCACATGCCCATCTAAAAATATGAATGTGATGACTTGAAATTGTCGGAGGCTTGATATATAATTCGGCTAAAGTTTGTGTTTTAGTGGACATAGTAGTTGTGTCCAAGAGGCCAAAAATCTTGTTTCTTATGGAAACGGTAAGTTACAACCTATTAAAATTGGGTTATGCGGACTTGCGAAGATGTTTGAGGTAAGTAGTTTGGTCATAGTGGTGGGTTAGTTTTATTTTGGGTTGAAGGTGTGCAAGTAGATGACAAATTATCTCATTAACTAGGTTCACTTTGCATTGTGAACTCTGGTCTACAATAATATTCAAATTATGACGTACAAGTAAAATAACATATTATGTGCTTACATTTAACCGATTATGTATCTGTAAATAAATTGAAGATACATAATATTTTAATTACTGACAAATTATATGTTAAATGCATGCACATAATATGTTAAGTGCATATAATGCACATGTAATTATACAATTTACTTAATACCATAAAAATTATTAAATATTATTTGTAACACACTTGAAACTTATATTTCCTCGTAAATACAGAAATCGACAATGTATGACAGAGCGATAGAGGCTATAGAGCAGGAGGTAAACATGGTACACCAAAAAATAGAAGACAATGTCAACTGGGCTTGTGACATAATGTCTGAGATAATGGACATGATGACCACGTTTACGGAGTATTTGGTGAAAGCTTGCAAGAACCCAAAGGCCAATAAACACCGTGTTTTGAAAGTAATAGTAAAAAAATTCCAAATAGTTGTGAATGAAACCATGAATACAGTTTCCAAATACTTTGCGCAGGAGAAGAAGCATGGAAATAATGCCTTGGCAAAATCTTTGGATAAGATTGCACATTGTGGAAAGCCGAATGCCTATGCGAGTGAGATCCAGTCCATTAAGGAAAAAGTGAAAAGGATTAGCGAAGACCACACTAAAGACCTTTTACACCTCTCGGAGAACTACTACGAACTTAGAGATATGCGACTTCCCAAGGTACCACAAAAACTATTCCCAAATTATAATATTTCAAATTATTTGTTTCAATTATCTTATTCACTTACATCAATATTGGAATTTATGTTTATGTTGAGCAGATTATGCTTTTAAACATTTAATTTTATAATGAACCTTGTTTATTAGAAAAATGATCTTGAACTATATTTAAAAATAATTAATTATACCACCAGCATATTATTTTAATATGTCTAAAATAAAACAAAATAGAATGCTCTTAATGAGATTTGAACTCACTAGTACAGAATACATATTTAACGTCGGTTATTTAGACCATACGACGTCGATTAAAAAAAGATGTTGATCAAAGAAACGTTATAAAGTAACCCTACGACATTGTAAATTATTTTTAATTTTTTTAAAAAATACATACAATATCGGGTTTTAACGTATAACTACCGTTGTATATTAATTTTTTTTTTTTAAAATTAAAACTATACGATGTCTTTTTTTGACATAACCGAAATCGTCGATTTTTTTTTAAATAAATATTTTTGCAACACCTACCACGTCGGTTATTAATAAATAGTCGACGTTGTATATATATATATATATATATATATATATATATATATTTATTTATTTATTAAATACCATATCACGTCGGTTTTTTACTAAAAACCGACATAGTATGTCAATTTTAAAAAAAAAAAATACATATGACGTCAGTTTTATGCCTTAATCGACGTCGTATGTATTTATTTTAAATTTTTTATATAACGATACCACGTCAATATTTTAAAAAATCAACGTGTTATATATTTTTTTAATATTAAATTTTATTTATCAATTTATACCCAAACTTGCTCAAATATAACATGTACAATTTTATATTTATAATCTCACAATTAATGAAAGTAATAAATCTCACATATGATACTAATTAATAATACAATTTAAATCTAAAATTATCAATATCAATTACTTCACACACTAAACAAGTAATGTATTAACTCATTCATCAATTAAGAACTTGACCCATATGTCTCTAATTAACTTCATTAATCTCTTTTTGATTGTAGCTCAATCTACCAACTCTTGCAAGGTCTACAAAGTTGAAAATTAATAAATAATTAGTAAGCTAGTATATTTAATCCATTCCTTTGTATGCTTGATTGGAAAAAATTCCAAACATGTATTTCATCACATAAAATCCATATTCAGTACTTCCAACTTGTATGACATAGTACATTTGAATTAAAATACATACAATTAAGAATTTATTTAATAAACAACAATAAAATATATGTAGTTTTACAAGTGTATGAAATACTTGCCGAACATTTAATCTATTTTGGTGGATGAGTTGCTTTCTTTCCAGTCAACATACTTGTTGTCTTCACACGCTTATAAATATAAGAGATAAATATTAGTGATTTACAACGTAGGTTGGTAATAAAAAAAACAACGTTAAATGATTTTTTAAATTTCTTTATAATTTTATTTGACTTTTAACATCAATTTTATAAAAAACCGACGTTATATGTTATTTCTGTAGTAGTGAGTCTACACACCTAAGTCATAAATAAGGTCATTCTTTACCATCTAAGGAATTAAACATGTTATTTTTCTTGTAAATACTAATTAAAGAGCATTATAAAATGAGAGATATAGAAAATATTATTTGTATATGATGATTTTGTTAGAACTGGGTCCACCATAAACTGGGTATAGAGGTACTGAACGGGGTAAGAAAATAGTAGCTTTATTATCTGGAGCGCTAGGCTTATAATAATGCGTACAAAGCCCGAGACACTGACCCAAAACAACAGTCCAAACAATAAATAAATAATACAAGATATAATTGGCTAAGAATAATAAATAATACAAGTTATAGCCCTAATAATGAAATAAAATGAAATAGAAATAACTCTGTATTTGTTAATCTTGCAGAAAAATAAATACTCACAGTGTGCCATTTTGTCTGTTTTATTTATTATTAATTAGTCAAATAAATTCTGTTTTATGTGATCACCTACCTTGTGATTTAGAGAAAACGCTCCGTAATCCTCGTTACACATTCCCGATCGTGATCTCCGATCGTGGTCTAGAACGTGGCCCTCTCTCATGGTGGTGGCCAAGGGAGTCTTTCCCTGGTGATCTAGGGTTTATATTCCGCTGTTGATGATGGATTGTTTTGAGTTTGCCTGTTGTCTTGTGCTGTTGTTTTGTATCCGATCCCCCTATTTTACGATGGACATCCGTCAGATTGAGGAACAATGCGCGGATCTGTCTTTGGTCGAGGAGGAGCTGAACGCGATAGAAGCACCTAATATCCAAACGAATCCATACGCAACGATCGAGTACAATTTGGTAGGACGTTTCCTTACGGATCGGCCGATCAAATTCGAGTTTATGCGGCAGGTGATGGCCTCCGTCTGGAGACCAGTGATGGGCATGCATGTTGTGCCATTGACGGACGAATTGTTCCTGTTCCAATTCCCCCACCTGAAGGATTTGCGACGCGTCCTCGACGATGGTCCTTGGACGTTCGAGAACCACACTTTCGTGTGCGAGCAGGTTCCGCCCGAAACCAGGCCGGAAGAGGTGAATCTGGATTCTATCTCTTTCTGGGTCTAGGTGCATGGTTTTCGATAGTGTATGCATCCACGGAATTCCTCACGAAGATTGGAAATTATGTGTGCACGTTTGTGTCCATTGATCCCCTCAATTTTGGTGGATCGTGAAGGAGTTTTTACCGGCTCCGAGTGCGGATGAACACCGCGACACCTCTGAAAAGGCGCATGAAACTGATGCGAAAGGATGGCACGTCAGAATGGATCTCATTTCGTTATGAACACCTCAGCACATTCTGCTTTTGTTGTGGAGTGTTGGGGCATTCGGATAAATTTTGCAGAAGGGTGTACGTGGAGGGAATTTCACCAGAAGAGTTCCCGTTTGGCAGTTGGATGAGGGCAGGTCAACATCGCCAAGTGCGTCCGGTAGGGGCTAAATGGTTGTTATCCGCAACAACACAACAATCCGAGGCGGCGACTGCTTCTGTTACTGGGATTTCGCCGCCCCTGTTGGAGGCCATGGAGGAGAACGCTGGTTTGCAAGGGGATTTAAAGCGGTTGCGTGAAGACTCTGAAGCGTCTGACAGTACGCATGCGGAGGATGTCACGATGGTAGAGACTTCAAAAAACACTGTGTCGGCGGGTCTGGTGGACCAGGCTCGCCAAGCCAAATGAGTATCCTAAGCTGGAACTGCCGGGGTTTGGGTGGCACCCGGACAGTTCGTGAACTCTTAGACATGGTGTCCAAGCAGCGACCCTTCTTCGTCTTTTTAATGGAGACGAAGGCCAAGTTACAGCGAGTGGAAGAGGTGAGGGTGAAGTTAGGGTTCGAAGGTATGTTTAATGTGGATTGGCAGGGCATGGGGGAGGATTGGCTTTACTGTGGAGGGATGCAGATGGCGCTTCATTATTGAGCTATTCTAAGAATCACGTCGACATGGAAGTCTCACTACCGGGTAAGCCGTCATGGAGGTTGACCGGTTTCTATGGAAATCCAGAGCAATCAGACAGACACATCACTTGGGATCTATTGAGGCAACTCAGGGATAATTCGTCATTGCCTTGGATTGTCGTTGGTGATTTCAACGATATCACAAGTCTGTCGGAAAAGAGGGGCGTACATCCGCAACTGGCAGCGCTCGTGGAGGGATTCAATGACACGTTAAGCGACTGCCAACTGATTGATCTTGGGATGGTGGGTGGCAGGTTCACGTGGAAACGGGGAAGGGGAACGGAGTCCTGGGTGGAGGAAAGGTTGGATAGAGCGGTGACAACGGTGGAATGGGCGGAGATGTACGAAGAGACGCTGGTACGGCAGTTAAGCACGATGCAGTCTGATCATAGTGCTATTTACATCGACAACGAACCAAGACCTATAAGGGTGGCCAAGCGTTCTTTTAAGTTCGAATCTGCATGGCTTTTAGAGGAGGGATGCTCGAAGGTGGTCGACGAAGCATGGTGCCAATCTACAGGTTTGGCGTTCCAGGAACGTATATTTCTGTGCGGGAAGCGGCTGGCTAGGGGGGGGGGGGGGGAGAGCATTTCAGATGCTTTGGGAATCGAATCAGAGAGTTGCGAAGCCGTTTGGATAGTTTACAAGAGGATCGCACACCCCAAGCTGTCGAGGGGGAGCTGGAGCGTTTAATACAACATGAAGAGATCTTCTGGAAGCAACGCTCTAAACAACTTTGGCTCAAACATGGTGATGCGAATACAAGCACTTTCATAAGGCCGCTTCGGACCGACGTCGCCAAAATCTTTTGTTGCGCGTCAAAGACCCGGGCGGAGCATGGAAAGAAGGCACAGCTATGCATGAAGAAATCCTAAGGTACTATGATTGTATTTTTTCGTCCAGTACAAGTAGCCCGGATTTGTTTAATTGCGTTCGGAGGCGGGTAACGGATGAGATGAACGTCTCTTTGTTGCAACCGTTTACCTTCGCGGAGGTAAAGGCGGCTTTGTTTTCTATGGCCCCGGAGAAAGCACCAGGGCCTGACGGCATGACGCCGACTTTTTACCAACACTTCTGGCCGATGTTGGGACATGACCTGGCCATGTTCGTTCTCCACTGTGTGGAAAACAAAATTTTGCCAGGCGGTCTGAACGATTCTAACATCGTTCTTTTGCCGAAAAAGAAGATTCTGGAAAAGGTATCTGACCTGCGCCCGATAGCGCTCTGTAATGTGGTGTATAAGGTGCTGACAAAGATGTTGGCAAACAGGCTCAAGGGAAGTCTGGAACTGGTTGTGTCACTGTCTCAAAGCGCCTTTGTTCCTGAGAGGCTGCTGACGGATAATATAATTGTGGCCGGGGAAATTGGGCACTACCTGAGGAGAAAAACTAATGGGGCTATGGGGTGGGCGGTGCTTAAGCTATATATGGCTAAAGCGTACGACCGGATGGAGTGGGTCTATTTAGAAGGAATGTTACGCGTGTTGGGTTTTGTCAGGGGGTGGGTCGAGTTGTTGATGATGTGTGTTACTACTGTCATGTACACTATTCAGGTAAATGGCGAGGCCGTAGGCACGATTTGCCCCACCCGGGGCATTAGGCAAGGAGATCCATTATCTCCGTACCTATTCATTGTGTGTGCCGAGGGGTTGTCGATCCTGCTTCAGCAGGCGGAGGCAAGGGGTGAGATCCATGGGGTGCGAGTGGCGCGGGGAGCCCCAACCATTACGCACCTCTTCTTTGCTGACGACAGTCTTTTGTTCTTCAGGGCAAATCAGCAGGAAACAATAAAGGTTAAGGGATGTCTGGATTTATACTGTGCAGCTTCAGGGCAACTTATCAATTTTGACAAGTCCAATGCTGTATTCAGTTTAAATACGTCGGGCGAGGTGAAGAGTTGGATATCTGAGTGTCTTGGCGTGAACGTTGCAGCGGATCTAGGCCGATATCTGGGTTTACCATCGGTTCTGGGCAAGAGTGAAATTAATACTTTTCGTTACATAGAGGAGAAGGTGCGGGAACGTATTGGGAACTGGCAAAACAAGTTACTCTCGAGGGCCGGCAAGGAAGTGCTATTGAAGAGTATAGCGCAATCCATGCCCATCTTTACGATGTCTATGCTCTTATTGCCACTACAGGTCTGGGATTCGCTTTAGAAGCTTTTCAACCGGTTTTGGGGGGGGGGGGGGGGGGGGGGGCGGTACTGGCAGGTAGGGAATTCATTGGCTGAGCTGGGACAGGTTATGCGAACCGAAATCGAGATGGGGGTTGGGCTTCAAACGGCTACATGATTTCAATGTTGCTTTGTTAGCAAAACAAGGGTGGCGCATTCTGATAAATTCGGGTTCGCTTGTCAGCAGACTTCTGAAAGCGAAATACTTCCTGAGGTGTGGTTTCATGGAGGCGCAGCCAGGGGGGAATCCAAGTTATATTTGGCGAAGCATTCTTACAGGGCAGGAGGTGTTAAAACTGGGGTTAGCCAGGCGGATTGGGGACGGACTTGACACAAAAATATGAGAATGGCCATGGCTCGCGGACACGACAAATCCAGATCTTTTCACTGCTTGCATTGACGAATTGCGTGGTGCCACAGTCAGTGGCTTACTTGACGAGAGCGGATCATGGGATGTGGATATCATTCATGACATTTTCCAGGAAGAGGATGCTAGGAGGATCATTGCTACGCCGGTGAACACTCACTACAAAGACTCGTGGAGGTGGTTAGGCGATCTTCGTGGGCTATACAGTGTGAAGCAAGGGTGTCGTTTATCCACAACAAGCAATGGACAGAACAGTACCGTGGACGAGTTTCAGGTTTGGAACAAATTATGGACACTGCCAGTCCCTCCGAAGGTGAGAAATCTTTTATGGCGGTGCGCTCGCGGAGTGCTTCCGGTGCGGGAGAATCTGAAGACGAAGCGCATTTTCATCGGAGGTGGTTGTCCGTTTTGTGGTTACTTGACCGAGACGCCGGAACACCTATTTTATGATTGCTGCTATGCAAGAGAGGTTTGGGGGCGGGAGGATATGCTGCAGGGCCGTAGCATGCAAGCATGTATGAAGGCCTGGTTCGAATTCTTCACGGTGCAGCAATCGATTGAGTCAGCCGCTGTCTTCTGGGTGTTATGGACAGCTCGGAACGACGTGGTTTGGCGCAATATATGGCCGTCCACCACGGGCTTGCGGACGCAGGTGACAAGACTGAGTTCATGCTGGGTTGCTACTTATTATAAAGGTCCACAAAGGGGAAACCGCATCGTGCATGTGGCCAACTGGGAACCACCACCGCGTGACTCGTTAAAATGCAACGTTGACGCTGCAACGTTTTCGGACGGAGCAGGTTTTGGTGCTATCATCCGAGACCACGATGGCCGGTTCATGGCAGCAAGAAGCGGACGTATAGAGGGCAGCCGGGACCCTCTAATGGTGGAGGCAATTGCGGCTAAGGAGGCATTGACATGGCTTGAAGGTTTACAATTTGATAATATCATCCTTGAGTCCGATTACATTAATTTTTGTAACGCGTTTAATTCTAGTAGTACGGATTATTCGTACGTAGGTGTGGTAGTCAAGCAATGTCGTTCTATTGCTAATGACATAGGTAGCGTAAATGACTAGAGAACAGCGAATCGTGTGGCTCACGAGTTAGCTCGGGCAACCGGTTCTTCATCTGTCTCTAGAACGTGGGAATTCATCTCACCAGCTTGTATTTCTGGTTTGCTAAGTTGTTAATGAAATTGTTTGCGTTTGTTTTAAAAAAAAAAAAGTCAAATAAATTCTTTTTTCATTACTTATTTTCTTTAGTAATTTTCAATTATTTTTAAATTATTTTTTTTTTAAATGTTTAATAGTACTTTTAATGTAGTTTTTAATATATATATATATATATATATATATATATATATATATATATATATATATATATATATATTAATACTAAACTTAATATTATGAAAAATTGAATTAAAAATAACTTCGGTTAAGTTTCTTTAACCGAATCAGACAAACAAAATGGGACGGAGGGAGTAGTTTTGTTTTCTATATGGACAGTCCGAAAGTGTGCGTCTGAATTGAATGTGGAGGTAAGATTTGAACATGAATTTACTGCAAGTAAATAAGCTATGGTTTATCTTCAGTGCCCCTTTCAATTCCGATCCATTTTTTCAATAAAAATTACTCCGTACGTAGTTAGTTATATTTCTTGAATTGTACTAATGATTGGGAAGTGAATCCCCACCACCACTTGATTAATACTCCGAATTACTTAGCTTTTTCATGATTTCTTCCTTTCATTTTTCAGGCTGAAAATAATATAGTGGGCTTTATTGATGATTTGGAAACCATAAAATCTCGAATTATGGAAGCATCCAAAGAATATTTTGTCATCCCAATTGTGGGGAATGCTGGGGCAGGAAAAACTACATTTGCCTTAAAGATTTTTGAAGATCCAGAAGTCAGGAAAATTTTCACCCATTGCATTTGGCTTCACGTTTCACGAGGGTTTCATAGAAAGCAAAATTTCATTGACATTCTGCATCAAATTTCCAAGCAAACAGAAGACTTTAGCGCGGCGTTATTAGAGGATGAAACAGATGTGTTGGAAGCTAAAGTAAAAGGATTATTAGAGGATGAAAGATACTTGATTGTATTGGATGATGTGCGGGAAAAAGAAGATTGGGATTTTTTAAAAGTTGCATTCCCTACAAATATGAAAGGGAGTAGAGTCCTGGTAACCACCTGGAGTGGCAACACAGTTGATTCTACCTGCAAATCTCATAGTTTAAAAAAGTTGAGCAATAATGATGGTTGGTTGCTAATAAAAAATAATGTTTTTGACACAGAGGGAGGGTGTGACACATTAATTGAAGAGCTAGGGATAAAAATAGCAGAAAAGTGCAAGGGATTACCACACGCTCTAGTATTGGTAGCAGGTATCCTACGCAATTGTATAACTTTTGCTGGCTGGCAACAAGTGGCTGATAATCCGCTTCTAAAAGTTTACGGAGAAGACCAAAGTTATCATAAGCTAGTATATTTGAGCTACGATGATTTGCCTGATGAGATGTTGAAAAAATGCTTCTTATATTTTGCATATTTTCCCATGGGATATGAGATTGTTGCTTGGAAGTTAATTTGTTTGTGGATTAGTGAAGGATTCATTCCAACTACAGATAAGTGGGGCCCTTTGGACAAAGAAGTTGAAGCTTCAAAGTATTTGAATGTTCTTGTTAATAGAAATCTTGTGATGGTGAAGAAAAGAAGTGCAGATGGTCAAATCAAAACATGTTGTATTCATAACACATTGCATGAGTTCTGTAGAAGGGAAGTTGAAGGGGAAAATTTCTTCCATGATGAGGGGCAAAGATTAAATGCAAGAATTGATTCTTCGTGGCGTCTTTGTTCCTACTACACTATGGGCATATTTGATCATGTAGAAAACAATAGTCCATCTGATTCATTCTCCAATCTCTTCAACAAAAGGATGGGTAGTCCACATCAAGTTGGTGACAAGCTTGATTCTTTGTTGGTGTTCTCCTCACAAAAGAGTGAGATTCATTCACAAAAGAGTGAGATTCATTGGAAGCCAGAGGACTTGAAAACCATCCTAAAAACCTTTCCAAACCTTAAGGTGTTGAATATTGAATCACCCAAATTTAGCTCACTACCAAATGAGCTTTATTCTGAATACAGTTGTATCAGGTATCTTGCAATCAGAGCTGATATCAGTTCCCTCCCCAAGTCATTCGAACATCTTTCATGTTTGGAGACTCTAGTGATCAAAACCACAGAAAGGTCACTACAAATTAATGGAGGCATATGGAACATGGAAGAACTAAGACATGTGCACACCAACACCTCTACGCAACTGCACTCTCCTCCCAAAACAGGCAAGCATGACAGTAAACAAACAAATATCCGCACACTTTCTACCATATCACCAGGAAGTTGCACAAACAAGATCTTCAACAAGACCCCCAAACTCAAAAAATTAGGTGTTCGCGGGAATTTATCACAACTACTCCAGAAAAAGAAAAATGTTTGCTTGTTCAACAATTTACAAATGCTAGAATGCCTTGAAAACTTGAAGCTTCATGGCAACTCTGAGAAAGTAAAGTTGAAGGTCCCAATGTCCGATAAGTTTCCAAGAAGACTAAGAAAGTTGACCTTGTCTGGTACATTGTTTCAATGGAATGACATGACTGTATTGGGATTGCTAGGGAGGCTCAAAGTGCTCAAGTTGGATGAAAATGCCTTCTCCGGGGAACATTGGAATCTAAGCAGTGATGTTATTTTCAAAGGGCTTCAGTATTTGCGCATTGGAAAGATGAACCTCATAACTTGGACAGCTGTGGACTCAGAGAAAAGCTTTCCAGTTCTAGAAACCCTGGTTCTCAGGAATTCTATTTCCCTACAAAATATTCCACAAGATTTTGCTAATGTGGACAACCTTAAAGTGATAGAACTGTTTGACGTGAGTGAAACAGTGGCTGATTTTGCAAGACAGATTTGTGTGAAAAGGCATGGCAAAACAAATGTCAAAATCAATGGATTCATCACTCCTCTTTCGTCACAAGCAACGGTAAGTCTCTAACTTCAATTTTTTCACACTTTCGTAATCTTTTTTCGAAACTTTTAAGGGGTTTATTTTTATTTTTTCAAAAATTAAACAGTAAAGTTGAATTTCATATTATTTTTGAATTCCCATACAACTTGAAATTGTATGGTGTGCTAAAACGTCAATAATTTGTACTTTTACAAGCTAAGAAAAAAGAACTTTAATTATATTGTAAGTTCTATTAGATTTATTTATGTTTTGATGGTGGGATTATTTGAGTGAAAGATATGGCAGCAGAGTTTGCAAAGCAGGTTCATTATTTATTAGATACAAAATCGTGAATTACTAGAAAGGCTTTTTTACTTTTTTTTTTTTTTTTTTTTTTTTAACTTTTGATTTAATTTGAAGTGATAGAAGAAGAATTTGAATTTATATTAATCCTCTACAGGTACATAACTTGGCGTATGAGAATGGATATGTCAACACCAGTAGATTCGACTATCCTAGCACCTCTATTAAGTCACAAGAAATTGTAAGTATATTGTAAGATGTAATTGTCTCTAAGTTTTTGTATGTTTTTAAAATTTAGAAAATTATTTGTAAGTTTTATTATATTTATCTTTTTTGAAACTCCTAATTTTTTTTTTTAAAAAAAAAAAAATTCAAAACTATACAACATGAAAATGTAAGGTGTGCTAAAATTTCATAAATTTGTACTTTCACCCCAAAAAAAAAAAAATACTATATGGATAGAAGTATTTTTTTTTGTATTAATTGTAAGTTCTATTAGATTTATGTTTTGACGGTGGGATTATTTGAGAGAATGAGTGAAAGATATGCCAGCATAGGTTACAAAGCATGTTAATTATTTAGTAAAAAAAGAATTGTGAATTACAAAGCATATTTTTATTCAGTTTTTTTTTTTTTTTAACTTTTGATTTAATTGAAGAGATAGAATTAAGAAGAATTTGAATTTTGTTATATTGATCCTTACAGGAACATAACCAAAGCATATGGGGATGAAAATGTCAACACCAATGGATTTGAGCACCCCAGGCCAGCACCTCGATCTACTTTGTCAGAAGAAATTGTAAGTATATTGTCCTGCCCTTTTCAACCATACAACATAATCTTTAGGGAAATTTGAATTCCAAAGTGTATAAAATTAATTATAAATGCTATTAGATTGATGTTTTGTGGTGATATACTGTTATTATTTGTGAAAATAAGCAATATATATGTCAGCAAAGGTTGCAACTATTAATTATTTAGCAAATAAAGAATCGTGAATTACTAGAAAATGTGTTCATGTTTTCTTTTCAAAAGACCCTTCGATTTAATTGAATGATAGGCCATAGGGGAAGAATATAATTTAGAAAACTTCCTAGGCTAAAGTGTCATCCCGCACCATGAACTATTCCAGATTATTTATGTCGCACCATGATCTTTAATAAGTGATATTTAGAGCCATAAATCATAAAAAAAAAATTTCGTCTAGAACTTTTTACAGGTTTCCTACAGGTTACCGATAATAATATTGCTGACATCAAATTTTTTATTAGTTTTTTTTGGTCTTTTTCTTCTTTCGCCTTCGTATTATTATTATTTTAATTTTCATATTTTTCTTTTTCCTAAACGTATAGGACTGCTCTGTGTTTTTCGCTTCTCGTTTCTCCGATACCAAACTCCGCAGAACAAGCATGATCGAAGAAACGGGAAGCGAAAAATGCAGAGCATGCCTATACGTTTAGGGAAAAAAAATATGGGGAAAAAATACGAAGGCGAAAGAAGAAAAATACAAAAAAAAAAAAAAAAAAAAAAAAAAAAACTAATAAAAAATTTCATGTCAGTAATATTATTACCTTTAACTTATGGAAAACCTGTAAAAAGTTCTAGACAAAAAAAAAATTATGGTTTATGGCTCTAAATATCACTTATTAAAGATCATGGTGCGGCATGAATAATCAGGAATGGTTCATGGTGCGGGATGACACTTTAGCCGTCAGGTACATAAGAAAGCATACGGTAAGGAAATCAAATTATTGTATGGATACAAGTTTTTTATTATGGCTCTGTTTGACATGCCTAGCTAAAAATGTTGCTGATAACTAAAATTTGAAAAGCTAGTATCTAATAAGCTAATTAATTGAAATTAAAGAAGGTGTTTGGTAAATAAATTTTAGCTGATTGGATTAGTTGATAGCATTAGCTTATTGTAGAAAGATAATGTTTGAAAGATGTTTGGTAAATTAATTGTTAGCTGATTGGTGATTACATGCGAAATGACTTTCTCAAAAAGCTGATCGAAAAAGTTATTTTTAGTAGCTTTTTGAACTATAGCGTTATGGAACAATAAGCTGCTACAAAAAGTTAATTAATCAAACACTTATATTGGCTATTTAACTAAGTCAAACTGTTAATAATGGTCAAATAAGTCAAAATTGGCTGATAAGCTAACTATGTTACCAAACAGGGCTAAAATGTTTGGTAAAATTAATTGTTGAATTAGTTAATAGGTGTAAAAAGATATAAAAAGATAAACTAAGATATTAGGATTTTGATTAATGAAGGGTCAATGGTGTGAATTATTTTAAATTAACAAAGATAAAAAGGAAAAAAGTTAAAAAGTCAGGAGTTTTTTTTTTTTTTTTTCTTTTGAAATAAAGGAGTAAATCCGTGATCATTAGTTGATCCTCACGGAGTCACGGTATTCAGTGCACCGAGTAACCTAAGTTCATCTTCACGCAAGAATCTCTGAATGCTTCTGGGTGCAGTCTCGAAAAAAAATGTCCTCGTCTTGATTAAAAGCTTGGTTGGCTACCATAAAAGCTTGGTTCCCTCCAGTCTATTATGGACCCTATTCATGATGCTCTTGCAGTGATCTTTTGCAATGCGCCCATGTAAAGAGGAAACCCCTAGGTATTTCCCAAAATCATCTATCGTGGGGATGCCAGCAAGAGTTGCTAGTTTCTCCGCTTCTTCCCTGTAAACATTGTTAGAGAAAGATATTAGATTTCAATTTATTGATTTTCTGGCCAGAGCACTTACATAATTTGTCAAGACACTCAGCCTCCGCGAACAAAACCATGTCATCGGCAAAGAAAAGGTGGGAAATTCTCGGACCATCTCTAGACGCCTTAATTCCTTTCCAGCTGCCCTGGACCACAGCTTCCGTAATGATATGGCCTAGGCGCTCAATGCAAAGAACGAAAAGGTACAGTGAAATAGAGTCTCCCTGTCTAACACCTCGTTCTGGTTTGAACCTCTCAAGCTTTCTACCTTCCCAAAGGATGGACATCCACATGGTCTCAATGCAATGCATAATATTTCTAACCCAGATGTTGTTTAAGCCAACATCCCGAAGAGTGGACCGAATGAATCTCAAGTTCACCCGTTCATAAGCTTTCTCAAGTTCGATTTCAGGACTATGTAGTCAGGTTTGCATTTATCCATGCGAATGGTATGGAGGATCTCTTGATAAATCACAATATTATCTATAATCTGCCGATTCAGAATCAGTAACCAATCCTATTTCTGACAGGGGCAGCTGACAGTTGAATATGATTTTAACCATTATTTTCATATCTGTAATAGTGCGAAAATAAAAAGGCATAGCTCCAAGTTGTTTAAAAATAGTGATATAGTGGCATTGAGTTTTCGACCCTTTGACTTAGGAGCGAAGAGGTCCAATCCAATGTATGAATGATCCTCACCCTTGCCACTCTCATGGACAAACATTTGATCTGTTTCAACTTTTTTAGGATTTTTTTTTTGTTAAATCTCCAATATACATGTATCATATATAAACATGAAATACTAAATTACAGATCTTTAACACAAAATATGAAACAAACAATTAAACTTTTAGAAGAACACGTTTTTCTGTGCAATATGTATATAGAATTATATATAAAAAATCGCAAGTTATTTTTTGTGTATACTAATTTAATTGTTATATAATAATTATTATTACTGTTGTAATATATATATAGAAGAACACGTTGTTGTTATTGTTGTTGTTGTTGTTGTTGTTATTATAATATTAAAAAATATTTTGCAATGAATCAAATTAAGAATAATATAAAGTTAACCGAATATTCCGTTTACTAAAGTTAAGGAGATCGGAAAAACTAAAACCTAGAAATGATAAGTTTTGAAATATCATTTCACCATGAATGTCCAACATCTTGTTTCACTTTAAGATCCCCCCTTTTTTTTTTTTGAAAACCAACCCAAAAAACTTTATTAAATTAAATTTCAATACAATAAGGAATCATATATAGAATGCCAAATAAACGGACCAGACGGAGTACGAACAGCGCGCCCTAGCTAACATATGGGCAATCTTATTCGCTAATCTAGAAACATACAAATATTCAAAGTGTCGACGAAACAGACGACAATTATTAATAACGTAACACAACCTGAAAATGAGAGATCCAGTTGATTGCCATGGAGCAAATTCACGCGACCATGTGAGAGTCTGAGTAGATTAAGACCTTCGCATGACCTCGTTCCTTGACCCAAGATAGATCCCATTAATATATAACTAAAGTTTTATTTTATTGGTTGAGAATAGCATTTCTCTGATTCCACAACACGACCCGTACAGTTCAATCCCTTTTATGCAAATGAAGTAACTTTGGTTAGGGACTTGAATGTAACGGTGTAGCTGAACAAGTACTTTGAAACTTCAACCGTGAATGTATCGTAACGGAGGAAAAGCTTCGCTAAGAACAGCCGTGAAAGTAGAATAATCATTTCCCTTCCCAGACACTGTTTGTCGTTCGCCCCCGGAATGTCTGTCCCTTTCGCATTAGACCAGTAAACATACTGGATCAGCTTTTTTCCGTCCCCGACAAATCTATCCGGGATATACGTTTCCGGGTTTTCGAAAATCTTGGGATCTTTGGTGGCGAAGGGTTGGAATCCGAATATGGTTTCTCCTTTCTTGATAAGGTACGAGGCGTCGTGGCTCTGGATTGTGATGTCCTGTTTGGCTTTAGCGTACTGGTAACGGATAGGGGGTTCGATCCTGAGAGCTTCCCAGATTGCGGATTCGGTTAACGGCATGTTGTTTAGCGCGTTGAGGGTGATTTTCCCGCCTTCTAGCTCCACCGCGCCGCGGATCTCCGCCGCCAGCTGGCGGTGGAGGGCCTCGCCGGCGGAGCCGACGTGCTTGAGGAGCTCGGGGAGGAAGAACTTGAAGGCGGCGTAGGAGTTGAAGCAGACGAAGAAGACGAAGTTGTGGCAGGCTTCGTCTCTTTTCAGGCCGGCCTTCTCGGCGTCGTCGAGGAGGGGTCCGAGGTTGTGGTAGAAAGCATCGTACATCTTGTTGTACTTGCATTTGACTAGGAAAAATGGGATGGGAAAAGTGTGCATTAATAAGTCCTCGACGAAATTGGGCAGCCAACTGAACCCGAACGAGGTGACCGGTGCGATCTGCGGGAGCAGCCAAGTCGTGACGGACTTAGCGGCCCCCGTCCCAAGTTTTGTGTCAGACGGTTTCACATCGTTACAATATAACCTAAACAAGAACTCGAAAGCCTTGACATCGTTAATGTCGTTGTAATTAGACTCCCCTTTCTTACTCATCTCGTCCTCGATTTGCGCGAACATGTCGTCCGCGATACTAGAAAACAAGGGGAGGAACCTGTTGTGCAATTTGGCCATGGTGCTGATGAACAGGCCCTTAAGAATGGCGTGTTTGGGCTCGGAGGGGTCGAGGAAGGAGCAGACGCGGTAGCCGCCGGTGAATTTGGTGGACGCCATGTAGGTGCCTTGGAAGATGTCTCGCTTCTCCACCTTGGAAACGTCGAAAAGGATGGGGAAGCTGACAGCGTCAACTAGGGCAATAACCTTGGAGTCTTTGGCCATGAACGGACCAGGTGGCATGTTGCATCGGAAAACAGTGGATTTATACTTCTCCATTCGGGTTCTGAAATACTCGTCAATTCCTAGGTTGTAGAAGAAATCGTAGCGATCCTTAATCGGCCCGAAGAATGGTAACCCATAGCCGCCGGGGATTTCCCGCAGTGGAAGGTTCTTTTGAGAGGAACCAGACGACATTTTCAGAAGAGGTGTTTTGGGGGGATATCAGATATGCGCCGGAAATGATTATATGATTACAGTAGAATACTAGAATTTATAGCAATTCAGTCGTAGGAGGTGTTTAATGTCTAGTCATGTTAACCAAGGTACTCTGTTTACTTTCCAGCTAGCCTTATTCATTCTTCCAAAATGTATAACCCCAACCCAAAGAGCCCCACACTCCGGCCGACAGAACATTTGGGAAGATGTAAATTATGATAACTCAACTGAACATGAACCATAGAGGCTAGACCATTGCTTACTAGGCACAAGAAGCCCCACTTTGAAAGGTTGCTCCCACATTACCGCTGGTGAGACTCGATCCATGGTCATTCTTCCCACTGAGCTAGTCTTATTCATGATTATGTTTATGGATTCAAGTTAATCCTTTTTTTGGTTGGATCTAAAATTCCTGACAATAACCCGAAAACATCAAGTTGTCGCAGTCTCAACAAAAACTTTTGATGTTTTTAAATTAACATCCAAATTTAGGTCCGTGGATCTTGACGGGAGCCCGCCTTAGGTAGAGTTGTCGAAACGGGTCTAAAATAGGCCGCCCTGCTCCGTCTTACGCCCGCGGGCCTTGGCGGGAGCCCGCCAAATTTAAAAAGTTTTAAATTTAAATAAAAAATAATATGAAAAAGTTAATAAGTGTATAATAAAATAATTTGAATACTTTAAACATATATTAATGTATTTGTAATTTGTTGAACACAATAATAACTAATATAATAATAAGTCCTAATAAATAATCAAATACATAATATGTGAATCTATAAGTCAATAACAAATAATTTATACAATGTAATACTTACTAATACATTTTTAGATATAAATAAATAAATTAATATATATTTATATGTATAATTATATAAAATGATGTGTATGTATATATATATATATATATATATATATATATATATATATATATATATATATATATATATATATATATATACACACACGCACTAATATTAATAATATATACATACTAGGCAGGCTAGCTATTTTGGCGGGGGCGAGCTAAGAAGCCTGCCAAAATACAGACCATAAAATTCAAAGTTCGCTCCGTCTTTTTGGCGGGATGGGACGGACAAGCCCGGCGGGTTAAGCCCGCTTTGACAGCTCTATATATAGGTGCAATGAAATTGTCTATTTTTTACGGTTTAGTTTAGTTTTTTTCTTTTTGTTTTGTTTATGGTTTAGTTTAGTTACTTTTTTTGTTTTGTTTTTTGTTTTTGTTTTGTTTTGGTTTAGAAGTTCACTCTAGAGTTTTGTAGTTATTGTTTGTCGTTAGAGTACAACTAGCAATAATATAAAGTACACCGAGCAACAATATTAAGTGCTTCTAATGTTATTATTAATTGCATCAAATGTGAAATATATTGCACTTACAACCCGTTTGGTTGGAGGGAATTAAAATTCTACTCCCACCTAATTTCGAAGGCAAACAAATTCCTTCGTTTGGTTGGAGGGAATTACAATTACATGAGATTGCAATTCACAAATTTTCATGGAATTAGAATCCCATCTCTCCCCTTAGTATTTCAATTCCGCATTGGTTGGGAAGAAAAATGATACCATTGAGACGAAATTACCCTTCTTTTTTCTAACCTTAAAAAGATATCTTTGAGACAAAATTATCCTTCTATGATTTTTTTGGATGTAAGCATTTAAAAAATCTAAAGTTAATTCCAGAAATGGCCATTCGACTATTGACTTTTACCAATTTTTGTACTCGACTTTCGATCAAAATTGGTCCTTAAACCAAGAAGCCAATGACCTTGTGGTCTAGTTGCACAAAGTGGCTCTCCCAAATGCGAGATCATGGGCTCGAGCCCTAGTGGGCTGGTATTGGCTCTTTGTGCTTCAGCAGCTTGAGAAAGTAGCTATAAAAAAAACCTTATGATTACCAAATCAATTATCCGACCAACTTGATTGGAGTTGCCTGAACTTTTTTTTTTTTTTTTATTTAAAATTTCTTGTTCAGTATGATAAGTATACAATTGTCTCAACAAATAAATAATCGAAACTAAAATTTCAATTATAATTACAAATATCTAATAATACAACTTCCAAATAAATTGAAAAAATTATTTATAAAAAGAATACACATATTTTAAATAAAATTATTTTTGGGTAAAAAGTTAACCCTTACATATGTGCTATTTCAGTAATTGGGCCATCATGGCCGCAAATGTTTTTTTTTTTTAATTATTATTATTATTATTATAAAATAAGGGGATACCCACCTATACACAGTAATAGATCAAAATATCATCATAATCGCTTCTACCAAAATTTGAACATACCATCGCCCACATAGAGGAGCTACTTGATACGAATGGTCCTTGGTACCGCAAATTTTTCATTAATAATGCACTACTGGAAATTATGGAATTTCCGACCACCTGAAAGTGATCTTAAATCAAGTTGATACCAAAAAATGGTCGGAAATAGCAACAAAGGTTTTTCCGGATGCCAAAAGTGGTCGGAACAAGACTTTCGACTTGATTTAAAATCACTTTCAGATGGTCGAAAATTTCATAATTTCCAGTAGTGATGGCCGGATAACGTCTTCAAAAAAATAAAATAAAATAAAATAATGGCAGGACAATAATTTTTTGTTGTAGCAGGCATATACAGATGTCCAATAACCCCCTCCCAACATAGTACAATCATAAAAAACATTAACCTCAATCATCAACGAAAATGTCCTCGTGCCACTCGTGCGCCAACAAATGTCCTCGTGCCACTTTTACGTTAACTAGGTCGAATTCGTTCGAGTTCACCGCCAAGTCAACCGATCGAGTTAAGCACCTAGACGACCGCCTAGAAAAAAATTTCCACGGTTCAGGGACGCCTAGCGTCTAAGTGGCCGTCTAGACCGATTTTTACAATAGTGACTAATTTAGTTAGAGTTCCAAACAACAAAACACATTTGATGAATATTCTCTGTTGTCACTCGAGCCTCAACCAACAAACTATACAATACCTATCCCAGTCTAAATAATAATAATAATAATAATAATAATAATAATAATAATAATAAATTATTATTATTATTATTATTATTATTATTATTATTATTATTATTATTATTATTATTAGTTGTGCCTGTCATCTATAATATGGTGGGCATACACGTACTATACAACCTTTTGCAGTGAGGTCCAGACTCTACCAACTTAGCTAGTACCAAACAAAGACTTGAAACACAACTGATGAATATTTTCTCATGTCACTCAAGCCCAAACCAATAAGCTATACATATTGTATGCTAAATAAATAAAATTATGGAGTGTTTTGTAATTAGTTGTTATTTGATAGGTGATAGTTCATTGTATTATTTATTTTGATTAATTGATATTATAAGCTGTTTATAGAAAAATATTTGGTAAATTAGTTGTTTATTGTCACTATGGAACCTAAAAAATGACTTTTAATGACAATGGTCCCTACATATCGCATTCTTCACACTCAATACCTACACTAGCTAATTGCCCTAGTCCCCACACGAAGATGAGAAGAATAGACTAGTCGATTGAGCGACGGGATGCGGTGCAGAAGCTTGCTGTAATGGCGGATGATAGGGCTCCCTTTGGGTCATGGATGTTGGTCACAAAGGACGACAAACGCCAGGGGAGAAGGCCGGAGGCGGCCGGCAAAACCCATAAGGGAGGGGATCAGGCGAGCTAGGTACGTTCGCGCTTCCAACCTTTAGAGAACCTAGAAGAGGAATTGGATCGCGATAGAGAGCTGGAAGTTGCGCCGAAAGCTGCGATGGCGGAGGCAGGTTAGGGGTCGAGACCGACCCAGGTGCACAAGCAGGTTGGTAATGAAGCAGCACCCATTTCAGGAGGCCAGGCCGCCGGCAAGGTCAGAGGTTAGCGTCGGGAAAACGTTATCGTAAGCGAGAAGTAGATAGAGAACGAAACGGGCAAGGCACCGGTGCCGGTGACAGAGAAAGCAGAGGGATCCGGTGTGCATCAACTACAAAAAGGGAGTTCGCGGAAGGTGGCGGAGGAGGAAGAGACCAAATCCACACTATAATAGTTAGCTATAATCATCTAGGTGGTGGGAGTCTGGTGCTTGATCGTGAACGCCTGGGAAAGCACCACTCTCATGACCCTAGCGATCTTGACGATGACGACGATGCTGTCATAGAGATGGAGGATGAGCCCGGAGAGCCTGCCGGCAGTGGTGGTGAGCCTCTTGTTTGATCGTATTTTTTGTTTTCCATTCGTTTGGTTTTTCCTTGGTTTTTGTTTTTGTTTTGTTTGTGATGATTAGCCTAATATGGGAATTTCCAGGGCGCTGGAGGGAGGAATTTTTAGCGCGTCCTCAAAACCCTTAAAAAAATCACAAACCGAATTTGATTTGGCTGGTTGAACCCAAGTTTTCGAGAAACCAGGCTAACGCGATTTGCTCAAAGCTAAGCTATGAAGACTGGGTCCGAGTGGAGGCAATGGGTTTTAGCGGAGGAATATGGGTTTTGTGGAACAAACCTACTGAGATAACTGTGGAGTATGCTCATCCCCATTTCATTTTGTTACAGGTCAAGGAAAACAACGAAGATCCATGGAACCTCGCAGTTGTGTACGCCAGCCGAGTCCAGCACTTACGGAGACGCCTTTGGAGTGAGTTGCAAGCTACTAAACGTAATATCACGTGCCCCTAGGGATTTCAACGCTGTCACGTGCCAGGAGGAGACCCTCAATTACACCGCTTTTTTATACCATCGCAGTGTCGAGTTCGTGGATTGGATTCACGGGGATGGGCTGGTAGATATGGGGTTTAACTGCCCTCGGATGACTTGGGCGAGAGGCCCGGAAGGTGATTATTGTAAAGGATCGAGACTTAATAGAGTAGTGTGTAACATGGGGTGGCGCCAAAGGTTCCCCGAGGCGTCAGTCCACCATCTCCTTCGGATATCTTCTGATCATGCACCTATTTTGTCACAGACGGGGGGAGGGGGGATTGGGGGAGAACTAGATTGAACAACCCCCACTTCAAGTTTCAGGCCACATGGCTCACTAATGATAC